GCAAATCCAAGACTGAGGAGGTAGAAATCCCCATCATCATCACCCTGGTGAAGAACCCTGACACAGGCAGGTATTGCTGCAAAACAAGAGGGAAGGGGGCAGGCGCTTACAGCTACTGATTTTATTGCATTACTAATAATCTGGAATATAAATTGGGTGAGTTGGACTATTGTTGTGATTGGACTAAGGGTAAGTGGTTGACGCATTTTCAAAGCATTAATTAAGACACTCAAGAGATAAATTCTTGTCCAAGACCAATAATGTGGGTGACAAAACGCTCTTTGCTCTGTGGTTTTACCCTTTCCAAAGGCATCTCAGCCCCATCTAACCCCACTGCATTGACTCTCTCCCTCTTCCATTGCACCTCGATCATATAGTGAAGAGCAAAAACCACCTGAAAAAGGAATAAATTACTGGCCGTGTGAAAGGCAGAGATGTGTTCGATCTGTTGTTCAAGGGCTCCACCGCACAGATTTCTCCCACCTCCCTGAGCCCCAGAGCAGGGCACGGGGCTGCACATCCACCCCGGGCATGCACGCGCACACACACACGCACACACTGCTTTATTATAATTTTTTTTTCTTAGCAAAAAAATAAAAATTTATTGTCCTCTAAAAAAAAAAAAAAATCCATCCTGCCCTTGGAAACTGTGACACAGATTGAGTTCTTTCCAGCCCCACATGCAAATTCACTCTGCCAAGAAAAGAGTCTAAACCAGGTTTCCGACAGCCAAAACACATATTTACAGAGTACGAGAGAACGACAGCTGAAATCACAGTTCTATACATGGAATCAACAACACGGTTTACACACCACTGATCACCATTCTGCCAACTTCTACACGGACTAGGGGCACTTCTGCCCAGTGCCCTTCCTCCTGGGGAAAGTGGGGAAGAGACTGGTCAAGAATTACCACCAGAAATACTGCAGTGTGTATTATTATTTTTAAAACGTATACGGTATTTGTTTTAACATTGGAAGCTACGGAGTGGGGAAGCCCCGGAAATCTCTCCGCTGCAGTCACTAGTTTGCAGGAACACTTCACCTTTAAAACACTAGGTTTTACATCAGTAACATCTATTTTGCTGTTGGCCATCACTCCAAGGATTGTTATAATTCTGGAGGAAAACACTGGTTATATTCTTCCTTCTCAGATGGGGGAAAAGCAGAAAGAGAGGAGATTCGGAGGCTGGTGGAACAGCAATGAATTAGTGAGTCCGTTCAGTGTAACGGGCTTCCCCACAGAGTAAGAACTTCTCTTCATTGTCTCAGCTGCACAAGCCTTGCAAGTGGCTCAGGTTCAGCTTCAGAGATGTACGGAAAAATATAAAACCCTTCGGCAGGGGATCAGCTGCAGCGACTCCCCTTCGGAGGGTGGAATCTGCTTAAGGAAAATGCTGTGCTCCAGCTCTGAGACTTTCCCCCGGTCCCTCCTGCGCCATCGTGTCTTTGCCACAGTTGGCGGGCGGCTACGGCATCTAAGGCCGGAGGCGATCTAAAAGTGGTCCTGTTAGCCCAAAGCGATGCCAAAACTCTTCAGCTCCTGGCTCTCGGCTACAGCTCTAGCCTTGCTTTTTTGTATCTATCTACCCAGGACAGTGCTGTCTTGAGCCATCTGCTTCAATATTGTTTTTCCATAATAATGTAAAAGTTTCTTGACCTTTAAGATACCACGGTTTCACAACACAATTAAGACTCCTTTTGCTCAGCTCTCAGCTCAGAAGCGTCTAAACTGCACAATTAGTCACCGAGGTCAACGCTTCCAAAGCTCCCAAAAATGTGGGGAGGAAAATGTCATTATCCAATAAGGAGTCGGTGTGAAGAGGCAGGACCCAGGCGTGCTCACAGCAGCCAGCTGGGCTGCTCAGCAAGAAGCCTCAAGGACCAAAAACTTGGTTTTGAAGTGTGACTGGGCCAAAAAAGCCCCTTTAGTTCTGATGTGTTACTGCATGTCATGTAAAAGGGAGTTCCCACTCCAGAAGGAAGTGTGACAGTACATTACAGGGGCCGTACATATTAGCACCAGGTTTATTTCAACAAGACTCTTTTTACACCATACAGAAGCTGACCACAGACTCTTAAGCCTTAAACGCAGCGCTGTGATTACGGTTCATCCTTCCTGCCTGGGGCAGGCGGTAATAACTGCTGGAGTGGATCAGAAACGCTGCCCCTTCCCCTGCTCTCACCTCACTCGCTTATGAAATTGTCCTGTAAGTGGCCCCCCAAAATATTCACAAAATAGTCAAAGATGAAGTTCTCTTTTTCCATCTGATGCTTAAGAAAATAATTCACATTTCAGATATTTTACTTTCTTTTAAAGCAGCAAACAAATTAACAGAAAGCTAAATTTAGGAAGTGTTTCTTAAAGAACCAGAGGAAAGCGAGACATAGTCTATGTGCTTGTGCAAAGAGAGTGCTGAGACATGTCGGGGGGGAGGGCAAGGGAAGGGGCTAGTGCTAATTCCTTCAGGCTGTTCTGCCATGAGTGCAGTGTGGCAACGGAAAGTTAAAATTTAAGGGCCACAAACGGGGGAAGTTTTGAATTCTTTGGTCCTTCAGTATAAGTTTTAAAACAGAGAAACTGTTTTGCTCAAAAGGGAAAAAAACGTGCTTTCTCTGCCCTGGAATTTTCCTTGCAACCCCCTGCCTACGCAATGCACCCACACGGAAACGGGGGGCAAAATCTCTCTTCCGCCCTGACAGCCCTGCGTCACACCGCGACTGAGTCCCACGGAGACAGCTAAAGCTGCCATCAGGGGACAAGTGCCATCTGAAGAGAAGGGACCAAGTGAAGAGCCCCTGTGGCAATCAGATGCAGTCTTGCAGCCAGGTGCTGGGCAGTTCTGGAAAAAAGAGGGTTGGCCAAAGGCAGCACCACCCTGAGCAGTCCCACGGGGAGGCAGGAGAGCAGATAAACCACCACGCTCATAAAAAGTGTTACAAACCAACAGCCAAAACAGGCTGATCAGCTCTGGTTCTTATAAATATTAAAGACCTGATTCAAGACTTTATTTCCTATGATTTAAGTTAGTTACAAAAACTTTTTAGTAAATTTTTATCTTAATTGGGCTTTTTCCTCCTCCCCCCACTTTTTTTTTTTTCTATTTTTTTTTTCCTAAAAAAAGAAACGTTCATGTATTTTAATAAAAGGTCTTTCCTTAAGATCAGACCAAGGCAGATGCACTGCCCCATGGCACAGACATTCAAAGGCTATAACCAAACAACATAGCCACAATAATCACTCAACAGTGTCTCTCCATAAAAAAAAAAATTAAAAAAAACTGATGCTAGTTACAAGAAAATACACATGGAAGAAAAAAAAAGCATTTTTACCAAAAAACCCAAAAACAAGTTAATGGGAAAAACATAAAAAAAGAACTACACAGAGCTGCACTTAAGAGATCATCTGGGAATGCATATTAACCCCTTCCATGTAAAGGAAAGGTGGAATTATGGAAGCAAACCTAATTATGTCTTTGCATTAAATATGAAGCTTTCTGAGAGGCTCCAGTAAAAATTCAGTTTTCCTACACAGTGGGCTGCTGGAGGTTCCAGTGCTTTTCCAGGTCAGGGAGGGGTAGCACAGGCAGCATCCCTGTGCAAAATAAAAATGTTTAGTCAACTGAGCGGCCTTTTGGTTGAGATCCCAGCAGGTTACTGCAATCCACCTGATATAAAAACCCAATGGACACACTGGTCAAGAAAGTCACAGGAAAGCTCAGCTACTGGACAGGCCTAAGCTGGTGGCATTTCTCTGTCACGCTGGACTTTCTCTGTCACCAGACACCATACGTGATCTCTAGCATGAGGGCTTCTGGACCCAGTAGTCCACAACCCATCCTTGAGCTGCTGACACAGGAAACATCGACTCTGTTCATCACGAGTGTCCTCAGGTGACCTGGAATTGTTTCGTGCATTTCAGCAGTGACTATGAATCAGGTCCCTGTGGCTAAAACAAAATTAATCTGGTCTGAAACAGTAGAAAGTCTCGAGACAACCACCAGACAAAGGTGGCCTGGAGAGAACTAACCTCTGCATCCATATTTCTTTCATAAAGGGCTTTAGCTGACACAAGGGCAGTACTTCTAAGGCTGCTCAGACCTGGAACACGTTAGCTGTATCAGCAATGAACACTAGTCACTGAATTTTGGGGTTTGGCTTGCTCTAGGTCCAATACTTTTTTTTTTCCCTCTTTTCTTCTTTTCATAGAAATATACAAAGAGTGTAAAAAAAATTTAAAAAGCGAACTTTGCTGATTAAATGACAGACAAAGTTCCTGCACATTCAGAGATCGGCAACGTGAGGCCCACCAGGCAGGCACCCAGCGGAGCTTCCATCAGGGAGGACGGCTTTAACCAAGCTGGGTCAGTGAAAGAGCAGGGAGGCTGAAGACATCAACAAGTCATTTCAATCCACCTCGATCCTCCCTGTGATCTCAACTCTTCCTCTGGAAAGCACGTGGAAGCCCCTCTTGCCCACTCTAAATCCTTCTGGAAATAGTCAAAAATTTGTTATCACCTAAATAGAAAAAGAGGAGAAACACAGACTCTTTGCAAACGGCCCTTTGATCTGTATTAAAAACAGCTCTCAAAGTTCCTCAAGAGTTAGAATTAGTGGGGCACGGGTGAGGGGCAGTTTAGATACGGGATGTAAAATATTAAAAAGTGCTCTGCAACTAATTTTTGTTTTGTGTGTGTATGTGCTTGTGTGTGCATATATATACACACATACACAGACATGCACATACACACACACATATACATATATATATATACACATACATATATATATGTACACATACATATATATGTACGTATGTATAAAGTTAAAAAGTTCTATACGATATGATTAGAACAAGTGTCCTTGGAAGGTCACGACTGGAGAGGGTGGGGCCTGTTGGGATGGCAGATGGGGCACTCGGCCTCCTCGGCGCACGTTTCACACAGCACTGCGTGTTGGCACGGTAACACCACCCGGTTCTCCTTCTGACACTTAAGGCATTTCACTGACTGCATCTGAAATACCGCCTGCAAGAGAGGGGGACAGGGCAAAACATGAGCAAAGCCACAAAGCCAAAGGGCTCCCGTCCTGCTTCCTGTGCCGTGCAGTTCGGGGAGCAGCAAGGAGGCAGCAGGGGAGGGACCTGCAGCTGTCCACCCATTCACCTTCTGAAGCGAAAGCAAAGCAGCACAGCACGTTGTCTTTTAGGACTTTTAGGATCAACAGAGCAGCTTTGATTGGCTTAAACTCTGTACTTTAGGCACAAAAAAGAGGTAAGTATTTTCCTGTAAGCTGGCTAAAACTCACTTGGGCTACATCCACCTGGAATTGCTTTGATAGGCTGCTGATTTCTGCAGTACTAAAGAAAAGGGAAAAAAGCAGGGATCTGTGGGAGCAGGGAGAGCAAGGCTCTGCCCTGCACATCCCAGGCACTCACCTTATCGACCTTCTCCAGGTTTGCCCGCAGCTGTTTCTGAAGCGTGTAAAGCGAAGAGAGCGAGAGGGTTTCCAGGTCAGAGAAGGAGCGCAGAAACTGAGGGTCCTGGCCCGTGTGGATCCTCTCCAGCTCCTCCTGCAGTTTCTTCACTTGCAGCTCCAAGGCTTCCCTCTGCTCACGGGCCAGTTCACATTCCATGTTAGCTGTGTTGGCGCGATCATTTGCTTCCTCTGCCTCCTTTTTCCAAGCATCACAAGCCTGCAGGTTCCAACAAAGAGGGTAAAAGAAGCAGCCTGAAAACTCAGTCAGCCTCCAACACAGAGTCCCCGGCAAAACTATCCACTCGCATACGCTCCTCACCAGGAGCGTGTTCTGCTCAATCTGCCCCGTTCCCAACTTCCTAAACACCCTTGGAGCTTCGCTTGAAAGTGCTGCTCATTCCACACACCCCATCTGGTCGGGCTGTGGTTCTACATGTTTGGCTCACACTGTTAAGAGGATGAACTTTGCAAATTGGCAAATTGTCATGGATCTAAGTCAACTGCCAGGTCTAAAAGACTGTCAAGCAAAGCACCTCAGTGCATCTGTTATGACACGTGGCTTTGTGTGTCCAGCATCTGAACACATCAGGTGCAGTGATCCAGTCCCCCTTGCCCAGGCAGAAGAAAGAATAAGAATGCTTTGTAAAACCTACAGCTCTTCCCATCACCTCAACATCTGGAAAGCTTCTCATTAAAGGCTGCCACCCTCCTACTCCTTTACACTCCCTAATCCCTCTTCCCAGGAGTTGCTCGAGTACCTGTTTGGCTTGTTTCCAAGACTCTTCCCACTGCTTTATTGTGCCGTTGGCTTCATCCAGTTCTTGTCGTAGCCGTGCCAGCTCCGCAGCACCTGGACCTGACAGAAATGCAGGTGAGGTACTGGGCGAAAAACTCCCCGAAGCAAAGTGTTCCCATATGCTGCTGTTCATCCCATTTAAACCTGTTTCACAGGGAAATAGAGAGGGTTATGTCACAGGTGCTGGCATTTTCCCCACTTCCTCCCTACCCCTGTGAAATCTAAGATTCCAAAATGTGTACATAGGAAACCGACGATCATCTTAAGAACTGTGTTCATCCCCAGGACCCAGGAGTTGGTCACAGATGGACTTTATAGGGCAAGTTTCACGCCATTAGGCCTCAACTTTAATGACACAGGGAGGACCCAAGAAACTGAGTGGAAGCAACTTTTGAACCAGGCTGGTTTTAGAAGCATCGATTTTAGAGCAGAGCTGACTACCAGCTTGAATCTCAGGTGGTGCTTTCTCTCACACTACACCCTAAGAAAACTGCTGGTTTTGTCTCCTCAGCTTGGTGCTTAGAAAAGCAGTCTCACTTCCCAAGCAGTGAGACCAAAATGCACCAACATCATTTCTGTTTGCATATACAAGAAACAGCACTAACTGGAGAACCCTGTTTATAAACAAGTGGAGGCGATAGTATAGACACCAGCTTCATCCCCTGCAGAGTTCTAGTGTAAAGCTAGTGACAGGCAACAGAGAAAACTAACTAATCACTTCCCTATATTAGCTTGTTCAAATAATTTATCTTCTCAGGAAGAAATTCAAGGCTTAGGAGACAAAGCAGTAGAAAAACAGTTGTAAACAAAACTGGCTATTTTTCACAAACTCCAAGGTTTGTGCTCTTTTAATAATGACAATAGTTTTATTTAAAATAAGCATCCACACTTTGCAGTCAGGGGAGAACTATCAAGTTCACTATCAAGACAGAGCTACTGAGTGATGTGGACTCTTGTGCACCCAAACATGCACCAGTTCGATGTAGCAGTCATCTTCGTTAGTGGTGCTCACCACTAACTATGGACATTCCTAAATCTAGTTGCAGTTGATAATTCTGATCTTACTGCAGCCGAACTGACTATTTGCAAGCAAGCCCTGGGCTCAACAGCCACCGAGCAAGGGCTAACCCAACACCACTTACTTCCCATTTAGTACCAGCCAAGACACAGCTACAAATGTACAGCTGAAAAATAGTAACTTGTCTTCACTAAGGGCTTAGGTGCATTAACAAGTCATCCAGCAGAGTAAAAAGGGCTCTTCACTGGCTCAGGCCACTTACCATAGATCCATTTCAGCTGCTCTGAAGCATGCTCAGTTGAGAGTAAGAAATTTTAATGGAACCTCAGCTCACATTTTGTTTTTAAAGCTCCAGTTTACTTGAAAGGGAATCTAAGCAAGATGCTGGCAAGCCACAAATTCTGCCATAATGCTGACCAAGCTTATCATCTTGTTTCTTTTCACTCCCTCTTTCCACCTGCTGTTCTCATTTCACATTTGAAGTAGCAAGCCCCTT